GGAGGTGGGGAGTTGGGGGGAGTCATGGCTTCCCAGAGCCCCACAGGGGCTGCCAGGGGTCCTCACTCAGATGCACCACGTCTGTCAGTATTAGGGGCAAGGGGGCGTTTTCATGCTTTTCCACTGAAATGAAGTCACAAGGTGGCCCCTCCTGGGAGGAAGGGACAGCTCACCCCGGGAGTGTCACAAGCTAAGCAGCAGCTCGTAGCATATTGATCATCCGAAGGTGGTTTAGGAGGCGGATGGGGTGTTAGTGCCTCCCGGATAGATCAGGTCAGTCCCAGATTTAGCTTGAGGTTCGTCTGTCTGGTGCCAACAGAACAGATGGACCACAAAAATAATCAGCGAAATGCAAACCCCTGCAAGAACACTGTCTTGGTTTCTTTGCCTGTCACTTGGCACTAATTCAAAAGACCGTGAGGGAGGTTGACTGGAGCACAAGGTGACCATATCAAGATGTGGAAGGCACAGACCGAATGGCCAGCAACCCATTCTCAGAACTGACTGTAAAGAACAGGTCAGCTTGAGCGCGCAAGGACATGTGACAGGAATGGTCACCGTCACAGTGTGTGTAATTGGAAAAAGAAAAACCCACCAATAAGCGAGCAAACAAATGAATTCACTTCACACTCGGGCTCATGCACTTCAAAAGGGTGACAGGAACAGATCGGTATGAGTGGGCTGGAAAATGGGCATAAAATACTGCTAAGCGAAGAGCGAGCTGTGAAATGACGTGTCGTGAGCTCTATTTTAAAGTGAAAATGTGTTGTCATGGACACACACAACAAACAGAACCCCCCACCCCCCCAAACACACACACACACACACACACACACACACAAAACAGACAACAACACACACCAAATTACTAAGTGATTAAGGAATGGAGTTGGGATAGGAACTCCTTTATACATACACATCACTTTAATGTGTAATTACAGAGCCCTGGTCGGCCCATGATGAACACCTTACCTGAGCAAAAAAAACCCTCCTTTAGCCCTGGCTGGGTGGCTCGGTTGGTTGGAGCGTCCCAGTCACCCAAAGATGGTGGGTTCAATTCCCACACCCAGGTTGTGGGTTCGATCTCCGTGTGCATAGGGGAGGCAACCGATCAATGGTTGTTTCTCTCTCTCTCCCTTCCTCTCTAAAATCAATAGAAAACATATCCTCAGGTGAGGATTAAAAAATAAATAAATAAATAAATAAATAAACCAACATTTTAAGCCACAGATTTGGGTTGTTACTGAAGCAAAACCTAGCCTGAGACTAGCAGTGTTTTGATTTAAATATACAGCTTTCAGACTTAAAAAGGGGTCTTCCCTTAAGTAGCTTCTTAGAATGAGGAATATTATTTATGTCCAATTAAAGATTCATCATACAAACTTTTCACACATCCCCATCGGCTTTCAAGTTTCTAGACTGATTTTCCAAATTTTCACCTATTCTGTGAAACCTTGTTTTTTTAAAAATACTATGAGGTAATGGACACATATGTAATACCCTTTGTAATAAAAAAATTAAAAAAAATAATAAAAACTTAGTGCAGATTTAAAAAAAATACTATGAGGAAGGGAGAAGGAGAGCGATAAAACATCAATGATGAGAGAGAATCATCGATCAGCTACCTCCCACTCCCCGACCCCCCGACTGGGGATTGAGCCCCCAACCCAGGCATGTGCCCTTGACAGGAATCGAACCTGGGACCCTTCCGTCCGCAGGCCGATGCTCTATCCACTGAGCCAAACCAGCTGGGGCTGAATCCTCATTTTTGACACAGGATTTGGATCAAAGGTGTGATCAGATCTGTGGTTCAAATTAAAGCCACAGTCTGACTACCGCTGGGCTCTGCAAACTGCTGTAAGTTAGAGCCAGATGAATGTTTTAGGCTGTGGGGGCATTTACACTCTGTGGTGGCACCAAAGTAGCCGCAGATGATACGTAAAACTTGACGAAAACAGCGCTCTGCCCGATGTGGCTGCGAACGGGGTTGCCGCTGACGACGAGACCTGCCTCACCAGCGGGCTTCCTGGGCCGGGATTGCTTGTCAGCGCACAGATGGACCAGATGCCCTGACCGGTGTGGCTCAGTGGATAGAGCGTCGGCCTGCGGACTGAAGGGTCCCAGGTTCGATCCTGGTCAGGGGCATGTCCCTTGGTTGCGGGCACATCCCCAGTCGGGGGTGTGCAGGAGGCAGCTGATCGATGTTTCTCTCTCATCGATGTTTCTAGCTCTCTATCCCTCTCCCTTCCTCTCTGTAAAAATCAATAAAATATAAAAAACAAAACAGAACAGATGGGCCCAAAGGCTGTGACCCTGTCAGGACGGCCTCCGCCTCCCGTGGATTGAGCCCCCAACCCAGGCCAACATGCCTTCCCGCCCAGGCGGTTCTGCTCTCCGGGACGGGCGTTACCGAACAACGGGAGACGGCGAGGGTCTGAAAGCCCGGGCGCCTGGCTGCTCCGTCAGGCCACTGGCCTCTTCTCCTCAGGTCACCACATTAAGCAATGACAACCGCCACCACCACGGCGGTCTAGTGTGAATGAGTCAAAACTATTTCTATTTTTTGTCAGATCGGCAAACACCATTGGTGGCGTGCCGCCGCCGCACTTTGGTCATGAGCTGACGTGCGCCATGAGACGGAAAAGGTTGGAAATGGCGGAGGTGAGGGGAGAACGCGGCGCTCGCTTTCCCGTCAGCGGGAACACGCGTCCGACACCTCTGGGCCGCCTGTGAGCTGGAGGAGGTCAGCTTCTCCGCAGCCTTTCCTCCCAAAAGGCTCACTCAGTGTCCTGACTGCTCCCCCCAGGCCTCTGCCCCGGAAGCGACACAGCAGCTTCACGGCTCAGCGTTCTGGAAGCAGCAGCTCAGGTTCCGTCTGGCCCGCCTCACGGACCCGCCCGATGCTTCAGGGCGGACCCCGTCGCGGGCCACGGAGGACACCCGCTCAGGGCCAGGCGCTCAGCAGGGACGGCCCGCCCGGGAGCCTCAGGTCCCTCCACGTCCGACCGGACACCTCTGCGTGGACGAAGGGGCCGCAGACGCAGAAAGAACAGAAACTGCCCTGTGTAACCGTCACCTCCGATCATGGACGGAAAGGAGCCCTCCTCTCATTACCAAAGCACAGAGGACACATGTTCTTCTAACGAGCGAAACAGGAAGCCTAGGAGGGGATTCCCGAAAGGAGCAACGTCCTGACAGAAGAGCGTGAGGTTCGTGTGGCCCAGGAAACAGATCTGTGAGGGTGGGTGCAGGGGT